GTGGGGCTAGGAATGAGACTGTTATAATACCTGAACCAATTACTATCTAATGAGTACTCAATAAAGAGGGCAAAGACTATATGTGACCTTGATCATGCATGAACAGTGGAATCTACAAGCTCTCTCAAGAGACTAAGTTTTACCACACATAGGACTTTTTTCATTAAAAGTCTCTGCCTACTTCTTGAGGGTGGAGAGTGGGGAAGACTAGGTATTATTTTAAATTTCAGTAAAATCTATAGTTTCATTTTTACCTAAGTCAAATACTTACAAGTTATCTTAGAAAAATTTGTAATGATCACTTTAAGTGCTGTACTTTTTTTCTTTTTCCAGTTTGAAGATGAAAGCCAGGCCTTAAGTATGCTAGGAAAGCAATCTACCACTAAGCTACATCCCCAGTCTGGTGGGTTTTTTTTTAAGTATTAAACTTTATAATGTTTTCAAAATACAGTTTATAGTCCTAAACTAAATGATCTAAAGTGGTAAGGTACATTGAAGTTTTATGTATATTTTATCTGTGCCACACTCAACTGAAGATTATTTTTCCTTCTCTATTTTTTTCAGAGTTTTATATGTTTTTGACACCTCTGTGTGGGCCCTTCAAATTTAATTTTATATTATTTTTATAATGGAACCTCAGCCAACTCTGTAAAGGAATTCAAATAGCTCATAATTAAATATATAAATACAACCATGAAAAARAGAATGAAAACATTTAAAAGCAAAGCAATAAAAATTATAGACCTAATATTTAAAGAACAAACTGACATTTAAAGTTATAGTAACACCCTAAACCAGTCTCTCCTGAATATTCTTTGYATTCCCCTGTGACTTACTAGTTTTATTCCATAGTTCTCGCTGGTATTTGACAGGTTCATTTCTACGTTTTTCAAATTCAAATGAGTTATCCTGMAAAAAGAAACACAGTGCTGGTAAAAGAAGTAAAAAGGAAGCATTTCTTAAAACATTCTTCTTTTTCGAAAGTTCTGAGGGGACACATATTAAGATTTACCTTCCCCCACCAGTGTGATCCCAGAGAATATGGGTTTTCAATCTTTTTCTCCTTTTTATACCTCCATTTATAAGATGTTCACCTCTCTCTATATATATATACAGATGAGTCTCAGAGAGGAGTGGAGAATATTACCCCCATCTAAAGAGGGGCACTGAACAATGATGGTATAAAGGTATACATAAACTTTGATATTATATTGAATCATATGAAGCTGCCATTATTCATAGATCAAAAGAGTCAAATAGCCAGGCATGGTGGTGCATGTCTGTAATCCCAGTGGCTCAGGAGGCTGAAGCAGGATGATCATAAATTCAAAGCCAGCCTTAGCAAAAGCAAGGCACTAAGCAACGCATTGAGTATCACTTGCATTTGAGGTGCTTTGCTGCTTCTTATTCATACTGAACATTATTTTTGTGACAATAATTATGACTGCACTTGCATCCTATCTAATACTATTTCATGTTCACTGAAAAACACTGTTTCTGGGAAGCCAGAAAAGGGATTCATGCCAAATGTTTGTAGATACCACCCTTAAATAGCGCAGAGGGGAAAAGGTTTGGGGTTCTGAAGGAAGAAGAGGCCATGGAAGAAGGGACAGTTTAAAATTCTTTTTCCCTCAAAGCAGCCCATACTATAGCCTTCACTGTCTCCCTTTACAGGGAACAAGCATTAAGAGATCCTTTTATCAACTCAATAAAATCAATATGATCAGTGTGATACATCCAATRAAATCTCATTCTAGACTTCCCACTATTCCTCTTAATACCAAAACTACTAACAATCAGAAACTGACAAATGAGTGTTATTACAAACCTCATCTTGAACTGCCATTCAAGAATCCTTTAATCTCCTAGTTTCCTCTCAAATCCTT